AAAAAAAAGAACCTGCATACAAACCATAGTAGTAAACAGCAGCCAATCCATGGAATATGATTAATTAGAAGAAATAGGCAGTGTGTGTTTAGGGTGATGTATGTACATGTGTGCCTGCCAGACATGACAGAATCTAACAGCGTTGCCTCTGGGTGTATCGAGTCAGATGCCGGGAGAGAGGGGTGTGGGTTGCTGGATTACAAGGGCAGGCTGCCTTCTTACAAGATTCTCCTGTGTGTGTTTTTCCAATGAGCACTGATTCATCAGAAGAGAGTTACTTGTTGTGGAAAATGGAGTGAGACTGATTTCATGGCAGATGTCCTTGGGGCTTCTGGATGAAAACACTCATTCCATCAAAATCCTGCATTCGGCTGAAACCTTCCTTGTCCATTGCTTATGTCGATGAAGGTTGGAAGGGGTCTGGAATTCCTCTGGAGGTGGGACTGCGTTGAGGCTGTTGGGGTTTGGTGAAACGTGGTATTGTGGTCTCTCTCTTATACTGTGTTTCAAAGCTGTGTTTGTCTTCTTAGAAGCCATGAGACAGCAGGCTGGACTTTCCTAAGGTGTGAGTGTCACGGAAGTTAATAATGGGGTGTGGGGAGAGGCTGTTCTAGGTTAAAGAGTAAGGACAGGCCGGGTGTGGTGGCTCACGCCTGTAATCCCAGCACTTTGGGAGGCCGAGGCGGGCAGATCATGAGGTCAGGAGGTCGAGACTATCCTGGCTAACACGGTGAAACCCCATCTATACTAAAAATACAAAAATTTAGCCGGGCGTGGTGGCAGGCGCCTGTAGTCCCAGCTACTCTGAAGACTGAGGCAGAAGAGTGGCGTAAACCCGGGAGGTGGAGCTTGCAGTGAGCTGAGATCGCACCACTGCACTCCAGCCTAGGTGACAGAGCAAGACTCCATCTCAAAAAAATAGAAAGAAAAAGGGGTAATCCCAGCACTTTGGGAGGCCGAGGCGGGCGGATCACAAGGTCAGGAGATGGAGACCATCCTGGCTAACAGGGTGAAACCCTGTCTCTACTAAAAATACGAAAACAAAATTAGCTGGGCGTGGTGGCGGGCGCCTGTAGTCCCAGCTACTCGGGAGGCTGAGGCCAGAGAATGACGTGAACCCAGGAGGCAGAGCTTGCAGTGAGCCGAGATTGCACCACTGCACTCCAGCCTGGGCGACAGAGCGAGACTCCGTCTCAAAAAAAAGAAAGAAAAAGAAGGAAGGAAGGAAGGAGAGAGAAAGAGCAGGAAGGAAGGAAAGAAAGGAAAAGAAAAGGAAGGAAAGAGAAAGAAAGAAAAAGAAAAAGGACATGGCAACGAAACGCAATCATGGTCCTGTAGTAGCTCCTGGATCCAAAGAACAGCAGCCGTCAAGCAGGCAGGTGCCCCGGGCTTGAGCACGCAGCTGGATATCAGGTGCATCCGTCCGGGCCCTCCTGGCTGCAGTCATGGTCTCAGCTGTGGAGATGCCCTTGTTCTCCTGGGTGCTGCCATGTCGAGGGCCCTATAGCTTGCTTTCAAATAGTTCAGCAGAAAGTGTCTGTAGAGAGAGGGTGAATATTGCAGAAGGTTAACATTTTTTTGCTGCAAATTTTTAAAAACAAAATTGGGAGAAAGATCTTGGAGCCAGAGCTTTGAAATCGAGTTTCAGTGCAAACCTGGAGCTTCTGTCTCTGCCCCTTTAACCCTGGGCTGGGCATCCTGGGCTGGGGATCCTGGCACTGTGTCACCAGCCTGGAAGCACTGGGCCAGTCTTGGCCAAGCTTTCCATCAGGGATGATTTGATCTTGGTGCAACAGGTCTGTGGTTACGACCATCGTTCCACACCGTGAGTCATTAATAATGCTTCCCATGCTTCCGCTTGCAAATGACCGGCCTTCCAAACAGCTGGTGCTGTTTCGAGGTGTTTCTGCAGGCAAGTGCAGGCGTGCCCTCAAATAAGCTTTGCCGGTGGACTCTTAGCAAGAGTGGAACCTGGTCAGGAAGGACAAAGCCTGGGAATCCACCCCCATGCCCTGTGGGTTGGCTGGCACCTGCCTCCCTGAGAAGATGAGTGGCTTTTTCCTGAGCCCTGTCTTTGCTGTACAAAGTTTTATGAACACACAAATAAATAACTTAATGGGAAGGGAGAGAAAAACCATTTCTGCTAGTCACGCCGAAAGCCCTGCACTCTCTTGTTTAGGTCCTGGGTGCCCCGTCTTTCCGCATGCTGGCCTGGCACGTTCTCATGGGGAACCAGGTGATCTGGAAAAGCGGAGACGTGGACCTCGTCCAGTCAGCTTTTGAAGTGCTTCGGGTGAGAACGTCTTTTCCTTAGGTGTGCGGTGCAGGGCAGTACTGGCCTGGTGCCTGGTGTCGGGTGGGGATGCTAAGCTGCACCGACCGTCCAGCGCAGAACCGCGTGCACCACGCCGTCTCCACCTGGAGCACAGTGGGCGTGGAGACCCGGGTCTGGCCTGATGATGTTTAAATCATCAGAAGGATGAGTGCGCCTAGGCCTGAGAGGGAACAAAAATGCATATGACACAGTCTTGGAAAAAGCTTCTTTGTGGGATGTGGTAAGACACAAACATCTGTGCAGGCAAAGATTAATATAAGAGTTAACACCACAGAGCCAGGGGCGGTGCAAGCTGGTGTGTGACTGGCGGTCCAGACAAGAGTTAGGCACCTGGTGGTGGAGGACCACCCCCCTCCGCCCTCTAGTGGGCTGAGAGTCTGGGGACTCCTCTGGCAGGAGGGAGGGCTTGGACCGGGCTGCAGGAGGCGTGTGGGGTTTGGGTAATGGAGCATGGACGGCTGGGGCTGAGGGCTTCCTCGCATCCTTGGTCTGAGTCCTGTTGTCCTCCTCAGACTATGCTGCCCGTGGGCTGCGTCCGCATCATCCCGTACAGCAGCCAGTACGAGGAGGCCTATCGGTGCAACTTCCTGGGGCTCAGCCCGCACGTGCAGATCCCCCCCCACGTGCTCTCCTCAGGTGCGTGCCACTGCGGGCTGTGGGGCCATGCCCTGCGCTGAGGGTCCCCATGCCTCAGGCCCAGAGTGGAACCAGATCTCTGTCATGGGTTGTGGAGAGGAGGCCTCATTGCAGGGCCAGCTTCCCCCATGGCTCTGGGCCTCCGTGTTCTGTCTTCACACAGGCAGCAGTGGGTGAGTGGACCTGATGGGAAGGGTGGCTGGCAGGGACTGTCGTCAGTGGGCTGCAGGTCACCATCCTGGAGTGGGAGGATGTGTGCCTGGCTGGAGGATCCTGGTCGTCCTGGTGAGTGGGTGCCCATGAGACAGGCCTGCTGAACGCTGGGCGTGAGCCGCCTGCTTCTGTGGGCCCCACCGTCCTCTCCTTACTCTTCTACTGTTCCCCGTCCAGCCTTCTGCTCTCTTCCAGCCTTTTTCCTCCTCTATGTGCCCGAAGTCTTCCCGGCCTTCACTGGTGCGGTCAGGGCTCAGCAAACCCCTGGTCTTTTGGTTTGGGGATATCCAGGGGGCAGCCCCCAGGGGCTCGTCAGTGACTTCCTCCAGCACAGCTGTGCGCGGCACCTGCTGACTCACGCGTGGTCTGAGTGGAGCTGCCCTGAGCCCCCGATCAGCACCCAGGCTGGGGCCTGACTCCCTGCGAGACAGTGTCTTTTTTCCGGGTAGCATTAGAAACACAGGCTCTGGTTTCAAACAGACTTGAAATTCTTACCACTACCAGCAGGTTATTTAACATCTCCAGGCCTGTTTCCCCATCTGTAGAATAGGGTCATGGTGAGACCATCCTCGCAGGGCTGCCTAGTAAGAGGTAAATTGATGTATATAAAGTACTTTGTGATTATTGTAATATAATAAATTATTAGTTTAACTGAGGCAAACGTTAACCCTTAACTATATACAAATAACCTGAAAGGTTTTTAATACCAAAGTGTTGATCTGGGCCAGCCTTTTCACCGTCAGCCTTTCCCACCGACCTGAGATGAGCCGAGTGGGGCCCGTGGTGGGCGAGCGCAGGGGAGGTGAGGAGCCATGGACCTTGTGTTGTTACAGAGTTTGCCGTCATCGTGGAGGTCCATGCAGCCGCACGTTCCACCCTGCACCCTGTGGGGTGTGAGGATGACCAGTCTCTCAGCAAGTACGAGTTTGTGGTGACCAGCGGGAGCCCTGTAGCTGCAGACCGAGGTGGGTGCCCCCAGGCAGAGTGTCCTTTTCATGAGAAGATGCTCCCGCCCCGCGCTGACGCCTGCCCTTGCTCTGCCCCCGCCCTTCTCCCCAGTCGGCCCCACCATCCTGAATAAGATTGAAGCGGCTCTGACCAACCAAAACCTGTCTGTGGATGTGGTGGACCAGTGCCTCGTGTGCCTCAAGGAGGAGTGGATGAAGTAAGCGACAGTGTGGGCGAGGCCCCTTTGCTTGTGACCCTGGAGAAAACCTGGAGCTGTTTCCAAAAGAGGAGCTGGGCCATGGCCACTGAGGGAGGAGCTGAGAGAAGAGGTTGGGGGCGGGGTTCCAACTCCAGGTCCACCTGTCACTTCACGGTGGCCTCGGGAAGTGGTCGTCATCTCTGCCCCTGGCTCCTGCATGGGGGGGCGGGGGTGGCGCCTGCCTCAGAGAGCGGTTGAGTCTCGGGCAAGGGCTCTGAGCTCACAGGAGGGTTCGTAATGGAAGCTGTCATCTGCTGTGCAATTAACTTCAAAACCTGAAAGCCCAGTAACCCATGCCCCGCTGTTTTTTTTTGTTTTTTTTGTTTGTTTGTTTGTTTTTTTGTTTTTGAGTCAGAGCTTTACTCTTATTGCCCAGGCTGGAGTGCAATGGCATGATCTTGGCTCACCACAATCTCTGCCTCCCGGGTTCAAGCGATCAAGTGATTCTCCTGCCTCAGCCTCCTGAGTAGCTGGGATTACAGGCATCCACCACCATGCCTGGCTAATTTTTGTATTTTTAGTAGAGACAGGGTTTCAGCATGTTGACCAGGCTGGTCTCGAACTCCTGACTTTGTGATCCGCCCACCTTGGCCTCCCAAAGTGCTGGGATTACAGGCGTGAGCCACTGCACCTGGCCCCACCGCTTCTTTTTTTTTTTTTTTAAAGCAAATTTATTTCCTCCTGCCTCGATTCTTGGTAATTTTTTTGGTCAAATTTATTAATCAAACATTGTCTTGATTTAAAATCAGGCAGTGAAGCTTAGGAGCAACCAGTGTCTTCCGTGAGGTTAAGGAAGGTTTTTCTTTCTTTCTTGGCATCTTTACAACAGCTTGAGGGAGGGTGTGGGAAGCGCACAGGCCCCATACCCGACAGAGGGCCGAGGGCCGAGCCCAGCCCCGACAGCTTCCCTTCCTTGCTGGGACATAGCTCCTTTCAGCAGTTCAGGGGCCGAGCCCACTGCCCCGAGCATGTGGATTCCAGCTCTGCCTGCACAGCTCCTGCTGGTGCCGAAGCCGCGTCGCCCCCGGTGGGCCCCCGTGACCAGGGCTTGGGGGATTGGGCTGTGGCGTCTGAGTGTTTTGTTTTCGTTCTCTTCAGCAAAGTGAAGGTGCTTTTTAAGTTCACCAAAGTGGACAGTCGACCCAAAGAGGACACACAGAAGCTGCTGAGCATCCTGGGTGCGTCCGAGGAGGACAACGTCAAGCTGCTGAAGTTCTGGATGACTGGCCTGAGCAAGACCTACAAGTCACACCTCATGTCCACGGTCCGCAGCCCCACGGCTTCGGAGTCTCGGAACTGACCCGCCCCACACACCTGCCCGAAGACGGGGATGGCTGTCCGCAGACTCCTCCAGCCCCGCGAGAGGAACTGTCCCTTGAGTTTCTGAACTGCTGGGAGGAGCTGTGTCCCAGTAAGGAAGGGAAACCGTCCGGGCTTGGCTCGGCCCTCTGTCAGGTTTGGGGCCTGTGTGCTTCCCACACCCTCCCTCAAGCCTTTGGAATCGCTGAAGATGGCAGTGAAAGGCGGAGGGATGGTGGACTCTGTGTTCAAACCCCTTGGAGAGACGCTTAGGAGGACAGCTTGTCTCTCAGGCCCCTTGTGGACTTAGATCTCAAAACCCACAGGAGAAACAGGTCCAACTCGGCATGCAGTCGCAATAACATATCCTCTGCCGAGGTTACCATTCAAGCGTTTCTATTTTGAAATTCAGCAAGAGTTTCTGGGCCTCATGTTTGAGTGTACATTTTGCTGCGTTGTGAATATTCAGCACATTGCCAGCTCTTGGTCACTGAGTGATTGAGTTAGGGCTCCGCGAGAGACTTTGGGGAGTGAAGTGGACCTGTTCCGCATCTTCCGGTCCTCTGAAATGTGTGTTCTGAAGCCATGGGCTCATCTTCTGGGGTGTTCCCCTGCAGGTACTGGTGAAGGTAACGTGGGGCTTAACAATGGAGCCCCTGATGGTTTATTTTGCTCAACATAGGTTGCTGAGGGGTCAGAGCAAGCATCTGACTTGTGCAGTCCCCTGGATATGGTGAGGCCCACCATGCTTTTATTCTGTATCGCTTTTGTCTTTATTGTGGCTTTCAACATTTACATTTGGCTACCAATAACTATTTTCAGAGGGTGGTGATTGAAAACAATTTCATCATCCCACTGTACTTTTTTGTTTTTGAGACGGAGTTTCACTCTTATTGCCCAGACTGGAGTGCAATGGCGCAATCTTGGCTCACTGCAACCTCTGCCTCCTGGGTTCAAGCGATTCTCCTGCCTCTGCCTACAGAGTAGCTGGGATTACAGGTACCCACCAACACGCCCAGCTAATTTTTATATTTTTAGTAGAGACAGGGTTTCACCATGTTGGCCGGGCTGGTCTCAAACTCCTGACCTCAAGTGATCCACCCACCTCAGCCTCCCAAAGTGCTGGGATTACAGGTGTGAGCCCCTGTGCCTGGCCCTTTTTTTTTTTTTTTTTTTTTAAAGATGGTATCTTGCTGTATCATCCAGGCTGGTCTTGAACTCCTGAGTTCAAGCAGTCGTGCTTTAACCTACAGCTACAGGTACCCCAACTATACATTTTTAATGAGGATTCATGGCTCAGAGGGATTTTCTGGTGGTTTTGCTGATTTGTTTCTAGTTTTTTGTGTTTAACTTATATTTAACATGAAGACCAAGTTTATATAACCAGGTATCTGTATAACGCAACAACATTGGAACACAATAAAGATGTATTTTTGTAAATTGTTGACTACATGGTTTATTGGTTTGATGCCTAATATTTATTTATTTATTTGTGCTCAGGCACAGGAAATACTATGGTTAAAAAATACCAGTGAGTGGACCGGGCACGATGGCTCACACCTGTAATCCCAGCACTTTGGGAGGCCGAGGCTGGCGGATCACAAGGTCAGGAAGTTTAGACCATTCTGGCTAATACGGTGAAACCCTGTCTCTACTAAAAATACAAAAAATTAGCTGGGCATGGTGGTGGGTGCCTGTTATCCCAGCTACTCAGGAAGCTGAGGCAGGAGAATCACTTGAACCCGGGAAGCAGAAGTTGCAGTGAGCCAAGATTGCACCACTGCACTCCAGCCTGGGCAACAGAGCAAGACTCCGTCTCAAAAAACAGAACAAAACAAAATACCAGTGAGTGGCCAATTCACACGTTTAAGCTGCTGTAATGATCATAGACAATCTTTTCCAAGTTAGTCGTTAGAGTTGGTGTTGGAGAGAAGCAAACACTCATTCATCCCAAGGACCTCTGTTGAGCATCCATGCCCATGTGCTTGGCATTTTGTTCAGCTTTAGGAAATGGCTCATCCCTTAATAATGATATTTAAAGATATGTCCATCTGAGAGGAAGATGGCTGGAATCACCCTGGGTGACGATGACAATCCCTAAGACTGCAGGGCTCCCTGTGGTTTAGTCATCTACCTGAGTGGGAGGGGACCCCCTGGCCTGTGTGGGTCAAGGGAAAACTAAGGGAGAGATGACCACCCACTGTCCTCCCCAACTTCGGGTACAGATTCCTCTTGTTTCTCATGTGGATGGCATTCCTGGGAACGCGGTTCTGTGCTCAGTCTTTGCCGGTTGTCTGCCGGTCTAGTGGCTGAATCCACTTGGCAAGTAGGAGCCCAGTGTAAGTTAGCTCTGCATTCATGTCAGGGGCGTGTATGACCTGGATTCTCCATGTCTAATAAAGCTCGCTGGCGAGGGGGCAGGCAGGGCCCTATGCCGACTGGTATTTCTAGGCAGCTGTGGGCTTTTTCTCTCCCCACAAGCATGCAGTTCTTGAAGATTTTTTCCTATTGGTCATGAGTGCACAAGAGCAGGAGGCTGAGCGGAATCTATGCCAGCCCAAGACCAGGCCAGACTCTGCTGCCCTTGTGAAGGAATAGGGGTTCCTGATTTTGTAGCTTCTCACACCAAGTGGAAGAGACAAAACAAATTCCAGATCCTGAACCTTCCCCGTGTGTTTGAAGGCAGTCAGGGGTTTCCTGATTTTACATTCAAGATACTTAACACTCAGGGCTAGGCACTGTGGCTCACGCCTGTAATCCCAGCACTTTGGGAGGCTGAGGCAGGAGGATCACCTGAGGCCAGGAGTTTCATACCAGCCTGGCCAACATGCTGAAACCCCATCTCTACTAAAAATACAAAAAAATATTGGCCAGGCTGGTGGTGTACACCTGTAGTCCCAGATACTCAGTAGGCTGAGGCAGGAGAATCACTTGAGCTCTTATATATTTTGGAAATTCACCCCTTATCTGATAATATACTTTGTATAACCTTTTAACCTTTTAAAAAATAAATTGTATTGTGTATATTTAAGGTACACAACATGATGTTATGAGTTACATAACACACACATATATTAAAATGGTTATTATAGCGGGCACTGTGGCTCACATCTGTAATCCCAGCACTCTGGGAGGCCGAGGTGGGTGGCTCACCCGAGGTCAGGTGTTTGAGACCAGCCTGGCCAACGTGGTGAAACCCCATCTCTACTAAAAGTACAAAAGTTAGCTGGGCGTGGTGGCAGTCACCTGTAATCCCAGCTGCTCGGGAGGCTGAGGCAGGAGAATCACTTAAACCAGGGAGGTGGAGGTTGCAGTGAGCTGAGATGGCACCACTGCACTCCTGTCTGGGCAGCAAAGCGAGACTCCGTCTCAAAAAATAAAAAATACAAATGGCCAGGCACGGTGGCTCACACCTGTAATCCCAACACTCTGGGAGGCCGAGGTGGGTGGATCACCTGAGGCCAGGAGTTTGAGACCAGCCTGGCCAACATGGTGAAACCCCATCTCCACTAAACATACAAAAATTAGCCGGGCATGGGGGTGGGTGCCTGTAATCCCAGCTACTCTGGAGGCTGAGGCAGAAGAATCGCTTGAATCCGGGAGATGGAGGTTGCAGTGAGCCGAGATCATGCCACTGCACTCCAGCCTGGATGACAGAGCAAGACTACATCTGAAAAAAAAAAAAAAAAAAAGTAAAAATAAAAAACCAGTAACTAAATGTTGCAACACAAAGAAAGGATAAATGCTTAAGGTGATGGATATCCCATTTACCCTTATGTGATTATTACAAATTCCATGTCTGTACCAAAATATCTCATGTACCCAATAAATACATATAACTTCTATATACCCACAAAGTTAAAAATAGAAACTGAAAGACAAAAAATAAATAAAAATCAAATAAAGCTTCTCATTTTGTTGTCTACCTTTGGTAGATTTCCAGCCATGAAGTGGCTGTTTTTGACCATTTCCCCCAGTTTTATTTTTGCTTATCCCTCTTTGGAGGGATTTGAGTCCTTCTTTTTACTTCCATAACTACAAGTCCCTCCTCTCATTATCGTTCATTATCGTTTTAGATGACGAAAGTGAAGTTCAAAGAGATGAATCAACTTGCCCTAGACCATGCAACTAGGAAGCCTGGGAGCCAGCACTAAACTCAAGTGCTCGTTTTCTTTGTTAAGAATTTTACTGGCCAGGCGCGGTGGCTCACGCCTGTAATCCCAGCATTTTGGGAGGCCGTGGCGGGTGGATCACGAAGTCAGGAGATTGAGACCAGCCTGGCTAACACGATGAAACCCTGTCTCTACTAAAAATACAAAAAAAAATTTAGCCGGGTGTGATAGTGTGCATTTGTAGCCCCAGCTACTCGGGAGGCTGAGGCAGGAGAATTGCTTGAACCCGGGAGGTGAAGGTTACAGTGAGCCGAGATTGTGCCACTGCACTCCAGCCTAGGCAACAGAGTGAGACTTCATCTCAAAAAAAAAAAAAAATTTTATTGACGTAATCACTGACATACATTTTCCTTATTTAAACCACACAATTTGACACGTGTATTTCCGTGAAACCACCACAGTCAAGTTGATAAACACACATCCATCAGTCCACTTCCTTGTGGCTTTGTTGGCCCCTCCAGGCTACACTGGTCTGCTTTCCCTCTGTCTAGTTTGCGTTTTCTAGAATGTTACGTAAATGGAATAATACAGTATGTACTCTTTCTGTCTGGCTTTTCCCACTCAGTATTAATGAAATTCATCCACGTTGTAGCATATATGAGTACTATTTTTTTGGGGGGGGACAGGGTCTTCCTGTGTCACCCAGGCTAGAGTGCAATAATGGCATGATCTTGGCTCACTGCAATCTTAGTCTCCAGAGCTCAAGCGATTCTCCCACCTCAGCCTCCTGAGCAGCTGGGATTACAGGCACATGCCCCCGCACCCAGCTAATTTTTGTATTTTTTGGTAGAGACAGTGTTTCACCATGTTGGCCAGGCTGGTTTCGAATTCCTGAACTCAAGCTATCCTCTCGCCTCAGCCTCCCAAAGTTCTGGGATTACAGGTGTGGGCCACTGTGCCAGGCCACTTCATTCTATTTTACTGCTAAATAGCATTCCCTTGTATAGATATACAAAAGCTTATTTACCTATTTACCTGTTGACGCGCGTTTGGGTTGTTCTAGGCACACAAGCCTGCCAGGAACACTGGTGAACATGTGCTTGTGTTAATGGATCCCATCCTTTCTCCTAGGAGTGGGATAGCTGGATCATATGAAAGGTGCAAGTTGAATATTTTAATAAACTTTTAATTTAGAATAACTTGATTTACAGAAAAGTTTCGTAGAACAGACAGTTCCATTTACCCCCACCCAGCTTCCTTTGTTAGCCTTTTACATTCCTTTCATATATTTGTCAAAGCTAAGAAACTGACATTGGTACAATGCGATTAAGCTCCAGACTTTATTTGGCTCTCACCACTTTTTCCGTGAATGCCTTCTTTCTGTTCCAGGATCCAGCCCAGAACAATACATTGCCCATTTCCCTATGCCCCCGGGCCAGTGCCCTCGGCTGCCTTTGTCTCTTCCTCTGTTTATGCTTAAAGCAGGGCAGGCCTTCCAACAACGCTGGAGCCTGGGCTGGGAAAAAACCTTTAGGGGCCTAGCTCTGCGCTTGGACATCCCCACTCTGCCACCGCCTCCAGTACGCTGGGTTCCAATGCTGCCTCCAGCCGTGCTGATTCCCTGATATCTGTGTTCCCAGGTCCTTCCTCAGCCTAGCCTAGCTGCTCGGGCGAAGACAGTGAAGGTGTGGCCCCACATTTCCGGAGCAGCTCTGCTGTGCTCCAAGCGAGGAGAGCCGGGGTTGCTCAGGTTTATAGGGCGGAGGGTGGTCTCTGGCCTGGGCAGGTGACGGGTGCGCTAGGGCCCGTGGCCCGCAGGTGTGCAGGCGCTGCC